ACTATGCTTTTCTTATACGTGCATGACCTATGATAAAGTTTACTTTATAAATTAGGCACAGTAATGGATTAACAATAATAATGAAATAGAACAATTATGGTAAGATAATGTAATAAAGGTTATGTGAATGTGGTGTTCCCTTCTAAGATATCTTATTGTATGTAATATTTTGGAACTCCAACTAACTGAAACCACAGAAAACCAAACTGCAGATAAGGGGTGACTGCTGTCTCACCTATTTTGTCTCCTTTTCTGTACTTTTCTTTCGTCTTTTTGTTTCAAATGTTTCTCTTGTATCTCACTATCACTATCATTTCACTGTAGCATGTAATCCCTGCAAAATTAATGACATTTGCAATTGAATTTAGATTTAAATCTGTAATTTATTAATAGTAGTGTTTACTTGTTTGTTCTGTGTCTTTTTATTTCTTCTATATCTTTCCTCCACTTGCTAGGAATTGAAATACTCTTGCTATTCTTTTAGTTGTCATCTTAGAGTTAACAGCTTTATTTGCCACAGTCCAATATTGTCACTTTTAATGCCTTCCCAGTCAGTGCAGGAACCTTCTTAATCTATGTTCCACATCTCTTTGATATCTGCCATCTTTTTCTTCTTTGGATGCCTTCTGAATACTTTCTTTGGAAAATCTTGGACTGTATTAGTTCTCTGCAGTTTAAAGTCCTGTCCAATTCATTCACTGGGTTTTTAACTTCAATTATTGTAGTTTTCATTTTTCAAAATTCTATTTGCTTTATCAATTTTTCTTCTTTTTCATTTTCTTTTGGATTATATCTTCAAGTGTCTCTTACATGATTTTAAACATATTAAACATTATGATTTAATATATTGGATTAGATTTCAAAATCTGAAATCTTTCAGATTTTGTTGGCTCTTACTCATGGTGTCATGTGTCCTTTTGTGGTTTGGATTTTTAAGTATACACTTATATTCCTTGGACTGTCATGTGGAGAGTACTCAAACATCATAGTTGATGATGTATTTCCTTGGAGAGGAGTACTGTTTAAGTCACCTTGGGATACTGCCAATCCCAGGACCTACCAATCTAGGTCCTTCCTTAAATTCTTTTGCTTGAGGCTTTTCAAACAACACTGGTAGCATCAACTCAGATGATAAATCTCTCCACTTAGCACCAAGGTCATGATTTATGTCCACTCGTGTATGGTACAATATGTCCCTCCTTCCTTATTCTTACCCTGAATATGTAAGCTTTATGCGATGGTCTCATATTAAAATCTCCCCATGGGGAGTTCCTAGGCTTCCTTTTCTGCCCCCAACCTCCCATCGTACCATGCAGACAACAGAAAGAAGCTCAAAATCCCAATATTTGGCAGAAAATATTAGAGTGAAAATTGACATTGGAGCTTAGTTCCCTCCAAGAGTTCTTCCAATTTATTTTATTTTTATACTCTATTTCTATTTTCATGTCAACCTAGTAATGGCTTTTTTTTTTCTGTTGATTAGTATTTTACTTTCTCTTCAAAGTGGAATGGTATTGCTAGAAAAGGAATGATAAAGTTTATTCATGTTTGTAGCTATTATTTTAAAAACTCTACCTGATATCAATAACTTTCTTTCCGCATTTGTGTGTTTTGTGCAATAACAACGAGAAAAATGAGGGTAGCTAACACTTATTAAATAATGACTATGTGCCATATATTTTTATAAATAATTTATATGTATAAAATTATGGAATCCCCTCAGCAGCTCTATAAAGTAGATGCAGTTATTATTCCCATTTTACAGATGGGAAAACAAAAGCACAGAGAGGTGGAGTAAATTACTGAAGGCCACACAGCTAACAAAAGTTGCACAGGAATTGTTTTTACATTATAGGCTACAAAGTAATTTTCCGGGGTAAAAAAAAGAGTGGGTTTTGTTGCCACCTAGCTATGGATTTATGTCCAGGATCTGTCATCCACTGTGTCTCCACTTTAAAAAAGTTTGAAAGGGGACAAATTTCTTTTTCCTTATTTTAGTTATTTGTTGTACCTGATACAGTTGTTACTTACTTTTATTATAAATATATCAATTATAAAAATAATCAAATACAATCAATGAAATATAAAGTCTTTTCTTATTTTATATATGTACGTTATTTCTACAATTTAGTTTTTTACTGTATGTAGCTTTGAGCCCACAGGGTGGGGGTAGCGTGAGTGTTTTTAGTGTATTCTCATCTTTTTTTTAAGCTGCATAGTATTGCAGAGTATAAATCTCATTAATTTTTCTTCATTTCGAGATTTTCCAATATTTATTTTACTGAGTTCACTTAAATACTACCAACCAGCCTGGAGAAGACATTTATGTACTGCCCCTGTGCCCTCGGGCAAGGAAAGCTGCAAGTTAAATTTCTTGCCATGCTGCACTGGATCCGTTGTGGAGTTCAGATAGCATTTCAACACATATTGTAAAATTGCCCTCCAAAAAGTTCTAATACAAGTTCTACGCTGGAGTAGAGAAGTCGGGAATGGACCTATACAAATGTAGAAATTCAGAATAACAGAGATCGCATAATAAAGAAGGGGGAAATATAGTGATTGATCAGTTGGTGGAGTCACATCACTGGATCGGGGAGGGCTTTGGTAAGCCTGGCCAAATCTAGACATTGACAAGGAAAAACTGATATATTTGTTCATGGGAAAATTTATAATTTTTATGTTAATTATAAACAAAATAAAGCAGCAAACTGAAAAAATGTTATATATAACAAACATGACAGATGTCTGAGTTTTCTACTATCCAAACTGATACTGGAAATCACTGAGGAAAAAGTTAAGCAAAACAGCTCAGGAGAAAACTAGCAAACAGCAAATAGTAACCCTTTTTTTTTTTTTTTTTTTTTTTTTTTTTTTTTTTTTTTTTTTGGAGTTTTTACAATGTGCCAGACACTGAGCTAACTATTCTGCAAGTTCTTTTTAATTGTAGCAGAATCTATGATAGAGGTATTATTATTCCAGTTTTACAGACTGGAAATTATAGTTCAGACTGATTCAATTTCTGGGAGTTACTTAACTTGAGCTAAAGCTTGAACTTGAACCCAAGTCAGTTTTTGCTTATAAATCAATTTTCTGAAGCACTTTCCTAAATAATAGCCCCAGGCCAAAAAAAAAAAAAAGATTAGAAATCATAGAGAAACAAGTTAAAATGACCAATAGGCATATTAAATGGTATTCAAATTTGTTTATAATTTAAAGAATTGAAAAATTAAAGACATATATATATATAATATTTTACATCATACTAGGCAAAGATTAAAAACAGTAACACTCAGTCTTTTGTTTGTTTTTGAGAGGGAGTCTTGCTTTGTTGCCCAGGCTGGAGTGCAATGATGTAATCTCGGTTCACTGCAACCTCCGCTTCCCGGGTTCAAGTGATTCTTCTGCCTCAGCCTCTCAAGTAGCTGAGATTACAAGGCACACCACCACGCCCAGCTAATTTTTATATTTGAGATGAAATTTCACCATGTTGACCAGGCTGGCCTTGAACTCCTGACCTCAAGTGATCTGCCCACTTCGTCCTCCCATAGTGCTGGGATTACAGACATGAGCCACCACATCTAGCCTCAGTCTTAACCAGAGGATGAGATTACTGTAGTTCTCCTATACTGTTGATAGAATTGTGATTATTTGGACAAGTTAGACAATCTCTGTCAGCCTTAATTTGCTCATCTATAAAATGGGGCAGAATTATTGAGAACATTACACTCTAAATATGTGAACAATGTTAGCACAATGCCTGGCACATAGAAAATGCTTAATAACTTTGTGCTATTCCCTCTAAAATCCACCTCCATTCTCACCCGCCTCCCATAAAAAACATTTTACCATTCTGTATTCCTAGCACAAGGCAAAGAGGCTCTACGCTTAAATCTGTATGTGAAGATGAAGACTATTAAGAAATACTCTAGGTACCTCAGTAGGGCTTTCGATCTCTAGGAATGCATGTGAACATCTACAATATATCCAAGTCCATGTCCCATCTTCTAGATCTCCATTTCCATGCCAGTCAATCAGGCAATAGATAGGACAAAAGGAGCCAGGAGCTCTGTGAAATTAATACATAGTGTAATCACCTACATTATCTATTAATGGTGGTGTGATGACTTATAGTCAAATGCTTCCCCATTTATTTCAAGGCACTGTTAGATTTCTGATGTAAACAAGTCTGGAAATTTTAAATATAAGTTATTAGTAAACACAAAACACCAATGGCATGTGATAATATCCTCCCCATGGGGCACAGTGGCTCACACCTATAATCCCAGCACTTTGGGAAGTCAAGGCAGGAGGATTGCTTGACCCCAGGAGTTTGAGACTAGCCTGGGGTGACATAGGGAAGCCAGAGCTCTACAAAAATTTTCAAAATTAAAATTAGCTGACTGTGGTGTCTCTTGCCTGTAGTCCCAGCTACTAAGGAGGCTAAAGCAGGAGGATCATTTGAGGCTGGGAGGTCGAGTCTGCAGTGAGCTATGACTGCATTATTGCACTACAGCCTGGATAATAGAGCAAGATCCTGTCTCAAAAAAGACAGAAAAAAAAAGAAAAAGAAAAAAAAATCCTCTCTTTTCTGGTAAAGGAAAGGTTACCATAATTACTAGCAATCATGTGTTTATTAAGAGACAGTTGTTGACTTAGAAGTGACCTAACCCTTAGTTTTGAAGATCTCCATGCAGAGCCATCCTGGCAACATTGCAGTTTTTAATCACTTTTGAGAGCCAAAGGTCTTCTCAGGAACTAAAGGTTCCAGGGAGGTAACGTCACCAATATTCTGACAAATTAAATAGCAATTGGTTTGTGACTGTCTCTTTAAGAATGTCTTTCTGGTATCCAATCATTTTGGCAGACTCTCATCTCGAGGTTTATAACAGAATTTTTCCAATAGACTTCTATAACTATGAACATGAAATAAACATGACAAGTTGACTCAGTGGCAGTTGGTGAACATCAGAGGAAATCATATTTATGTGGTTTGTCTACAGCACATTTAACTGGACGGTCCCCTTCCTTTCATCTCTGGCCTGTTTGATTCTGGCAGCAGCCACCATCATTTTGTATTTCATTCCACTGCGGTACATCATTTTAATCTGGGGTAAGTTTGGCATGGTCCTTTTGCTAGCAATCAATTCCAGGTAAGAACCAATTACTCATTTTTAAAGTATGACTATTAACTTTAAGTGTGCTCTTGTTGGCAATTAAACATGAGATTAAGGAAAGCATTTAGGGAACAAAAACTACCAGGACCTCCCTGAAAAGGCCAGTTGCTTGAATGATCAGCGTAGATATTTATAGGCCTCTTGCATAATTGCAATCAAATAAAAATGTGATTGTACATGCCATTTCCCTTTGGGCTTTCCTAATCATAAATCCTCTTGAATAATATATTGCTGTACTCAGGTAACTTTAAGGAAACACTGTTCAAATAGCGAGCAAACACCTGCATCATGCCCTTTATATTATATAAAAGTGGATCTGGCCACTACCAGGTTGCTTCTGACACTTCATCTCTCTTGGAGGAAAAAATTCACCTAACCCCATTCTTAAATCCAGAAGCAGGGAGAGGGAGGGGAGGGGGCATTCTGTGAATACCTAACCAGTGCCTGAACAGAGAGGAAGTTATTATTTACCAGGGGAAATGGTGTGCCTATATAAAGTTCAGCTGCTTTAAAAAGAAAGTAGAAACAAAACTGGCAAACTGGAAATAAATGTCATGACTTGATTTAATACTCAAACTAGCGACTGGACAAAATGCAAGCAGCTTGGTGAATATTTATTTCTGTTCCTGGGTGGGCTCTGAGTTGATATAAGGAGAGGGAATTGCAATAACTTAACTGTTGGAGAAGCAGTTAGCCCTTCTCCGTAAAGGGTCTGCCAATCCTGGTTTTCCATGACTTAGCTATGACTGCCACTGAGTTCTCAATGGTCATCACTTCCAGGGATCTTCAGATGTTAAGATGTTTGGGGAAATCACAAAGAGAAGAGACTGTGTTGAGATGCATTCATTCTCAAGCAAAAGCTGAGAGCCTGCAAATGCTGGATGAAAGCTACAACCTTTCTAAAAACCATTAAATATAGATTTTTTCAAAGACCACCCAACAAAGGTAGAATCCTACTGTCAAGAAAAGCCAGACTTGGGCAATAGGAAAAAAGTCATGGAAAAAATAGAACAGCTCATACAGTTACAGAAGTAGAATGATTTAGGGATTTTGAGAGAGTATAATCCAATTATTCTCTAAACTGTTCAGGGATCTATTTTAATACTTGATGATCCTGATTTTTGGAGGAAAGTCTAATCTGTGCTTAGTTCTTGTTGGTATTTTTTGTTTACTTGGCAACAGTAATAGCAAATTGATCCCTAAGAAAGAACATAGAGCTCCTCAGGGCCACTGATTAAGAAGTCATATTCTGCAAAAAAAAAAAAAAAAAAAAAATTAAAAAAGTATTTTCCTGAATAATTTATATACTGAATGTTATTCACATCAACTGGGTATCTTATTTTTCAATTATGTTTTCATGAGTACTACTATCTTATTTACTGATAACATTTAGAACATAGATCTTAAGATTGTTGTCTGACCCTATCCAGAATGTGATTAAAAATTGCAATCATTTGGCTAGTGGTTTGTTCACTTTTAAGTTCATGTAAGTTGAGTGCCATGGTCAGCTGTTAAACACTGCTGCTTCTTGATTTCCTCCTCATCCTGGTGCTTGCTTGTTCTGTTTCTATGCATCTTTCCTTCCACAAAGAAGACTAATACTGGCTGGATACAGTGGCTCATGCCTGTAATCCCAGCACTTTGGGAGGCAGAAGCGGGCGGTTCACCTGAGGTCAGGAGTTTGAGACCAGCCTAGCCAATATGGTGAAACCCTGTTTCATAAGCCAGGGTGATGGCAGGCACCTGTAATCCCAGTTACCCACCTGGGAGGCTGAGGCATGAGAATCGCTTGAACCTGGGAGGCGGAGGTTGCAGGGAACTGAGATCAAGCCACTGCACTCCAGCCTGGGCAACAGAGCAAGCCTCCATCTCCAAAAACAAACAAACAAACAAACAAACAAACAAAACCGAATACTGTATTTTCTCATTTGATCATCAGTTTTGAGATTCCAGTCCCTCTTTCTTTATACCCAAATCACTTTGACTTCTGATCTTATCCTCCAAGATCTTGGCAGCTTTCCAACAACTTTCTGCATCTACTTAGTGAAATATTGCTCTATTTTTCATTTTACGGATAAAGTTATTAAATGGTATGGAGTTTATTATGCTCTCTTGGGCCGATAGTAACCCTCTGAGCTTTGTACTCTATGTCTGGTTCTTCAGTTTTACATTTTAAACAGGAGCTCATAGTTTTATTGATGAGCTTACCATAGTGAATGTAGTCACAAGCCTTGACAATTACCACGTGATCTATTGCCTCTTCTCATTACGTAAAAACTGCTATGCCATCCTAGAATATATTCTGAAATTCTGTTAGGGTTTATCCTAAGACAAATTAGTTCCTAGCTAGCATAGGCCAGGACATTGTTTTGCAGATTTCTTACATGACTGCATCATTTGAAGCAATTTTTTTCTCACAAAGGAGATAAATGTGTATGTCTTAAAGTTTTAGTGGTTTTTCTAACTTTAAGGATCAGAAGACTTTCTAAGTTACTTATTCGTTTTTTATTGAGTGCTAAAATGGTGAATATACTTAAATGTTTTGTTCTATGTTTTGAATTTTTTGAAAAAATTTAACTGTATATGCTAGATTTCCATATTCTATATCCTCAAGTCATATTTTTGTATAAGTATTAGAATCATTTCACATAAGCACATAAAAACAGTCTAATTTCATATTAGCTATGGGGAATATTTTTGGCCACACCAAAATTATTTTGATAAGTGAGATATTTTATTTCCTCTTTAGCCCTATAATTCTTAGTGTAGCCACATTTATGTAATAGACCTTTAATGAGTACTTAAATATTTTTGTGAATGAATGAGCCTGCAAGCTTAATACCTGTGCTCTATATAGATGACATTTTGTTAGGCCCATGACCTCGCTTGTGTAGGAGTGTGATTTTTGAAAATTAAGTGAGAAGTAGATTTTAAGGATATCTGAAGTTTTCTTTAGCAAACATTATCTACTACATTTTAGTCACTTACATGAAGTATGTATTTCCAGAAGGCAGAGTATTTCTTAGGATTAGATCCCATGTGGGTTTCCTTTTGAGAGATTTCCCATATTCCTTCTATTCGTAGAGGTTTTAATTATACTTTTTCAGTTCTAGTTGAAACCACTTCTGTTTTTTCAGGTAGATATTAATTCTCTAAGCTAAATTTTTAGTTTTTTGCAAGAAGGACCTATTCCTTGTTTAAGTTTGTATCTTCATTTGATAGGACAATATCTCTACATGGAAGACACTCAGAATTTGATAAATGAACAGGCAAGGAACCCCTGCCTCACCCCAACCAATGTATTACAGTTGGAGCTACCTGCTGGTCACTCATGTAACTATCTGAAAAATGGTGTTATAATTGTGTTTCAAGTGGTTATTCTCAAGTGGGCAAATGTGCAAAGCAGCCATGCAATTTTTCATCTCTTCTGATTTTCTCCAAGTGATATATTTTTTTTAACTGTAGGGCTCATTCCACCCCACTGATCAATTCAATCTATGATCCGGGACCAATACATAGATAGCATCTTTCCCAACAAAATGTTTTTCTTCAGTATTTTATCCCACTTGTTTTTTTTTCTATTTTCTTTTCTTTTTTTCTTCTTTTTTCTTTTTTTTTGCTAAAAGTAACTTTACAACAGATATACTCTCCATCTGTACCATTTAGGTTAAAAAAAATCTAAGGTATGTTTAGCATGCCAATAGATGAAGCCACAATTTCTAAATGTGTCTATGTCATCATAGCTGACTTTAATAGTATTAAAGGCTCTTTTCCATCCTCACTTCCTTTGTCTCCTTAGCTTGTTTGCATCTACAGTAATGATGGTAGCCCTCTGCATTGTTGTAGAATTTCAGATTACAGTATCATTTTGCCTGTACTGCCCAACGTGATTCTCCCATCTACCCAAGAAACTCTATAAGGAGGTCTTTATTATTCAAATGTTAATGTAAGAAATGTGAGGTACAGGAAGGTGATTTTTCTAAAATTACACAGCTAATACATGATGAAGCCAAAACTGGGGCCCAGGTATTCCTACATCATAACCTTTGTTTTCTTGTTCCTTAAAGAATGACCAAGGTGGCCGCGTGTGGTGGCTCATGCCTGTAATCCCAGCACTTTGGGAGGCTGAGGTGGGTGGATCACCTAAGGTCAGGGGTTCAAGACCAGCCTGATCAACATGGCGAAACCCCGTCTCTTAAAACAAAAAAATAACCAAGGAATCTATGATTTCCTGTTGACAGTCTCACACAGTTGTTAATAGGGCAGAATTATTGGAACATTTGATCCTGGACACCTTCATAAATAAGGTGTGCCTTTAAAACATGCAGTCTGAGTGCCCTATAATTTGTATTCTGGTTTTTTTCGAACATAGATAGTCTCAGTGCATTGTGGAACACTTTTGCCCTTATTGGTGCATTTGAGCTACTGTGCAGGTTTATAATCTTCTCAGTGACTAAGAATGCAGTGTTTTGATCAGCTGTGATATTATCCCTGCCTTGCTGTTCATTGTAAAGACTCCAGATGCGCACACCATATATAATTAACAATAGAAGATATATCTGTTCTCAATACGTCTTTGTCTCCCTTCATCATTTTGCCTTGTCTGTTTTCTTTTGCCAAAAAGCCCATGCGACAATTAAATGTCTTTAGAATAACACAGTGAGAGTATTTTAATGTAAAGGAACACTGGGGGAAATTTTAGCTAGAAACATGAAGCTTGCTGTGGGGGTAGAGGGAAAAAAGGCAGAGTGCAGCTTTGACTTGAGGGAAAGGGGATCGTTTGCTAGGAATCTTCACCAGCCCAACCGCCAAGCCACCATTTACTTGGGCACAATGGCTGGCTCCCATTTGCAAAGCAGATGTAAATCTGACCCTCCAAAGAAATGACTGGAGGTTGGCATTGTGTCAGGTATAATGCCATGCAGGAAGCCTAGTCCTCAGATGAAAGCAAAATAATATTTAATGAACAACAACAAAAAAAAATCAAACCCTTTGTGGCTTGGGGACTAGTGAACAGTTAAATGTTACCTTGACTTCTGAGTAGGAGCCATTCAGAGTACAACGAAGCTAAGAATTCATTCAGCATCATTGGGACTGACAGCCCTTCAGATATGATCCTTGTTAAACAAGCACCCTGTGGCAAAACTTCAGAAGGCCACCTAGTCTTTCTGCTTCTAAAACTCAACATGAAAAGCAGGTTGACATTTGGTGAAAAGACTACAGCTTATGAGCTCTGGATATAGTCAAAGCAGCTCCAAAGAGCAGAGTAGAAGACAAAACGTGGTTGAGAGGAACTCCCCTCTAAAGAGTTAGCCAGGGGCAGAGCGTGTCCTGGATATGCGGGGGAGCCCAAGGTGCAGCCACCACAGAAGGACAGTCTATAGGATGTTGACGTCTTAAACGTTGAACCTGTTTCTAATCATCATTGTCCTTGTCCTAAATTAGCATGTTCTCCATTGCCCAGAAAGACCCACGCGCTGACGTTGTGATCCATAAATTAAGTTAGCATCCATAGTAAGATAATTTTCCAATAATAACTTTTCACAGTTTCCTGCAACATCAAAGTACAATCAACATGTCAGGTTCTGTTCTGCTGTGAGAGGAGAGAAACCTGTGAAAATGAGTTGGAGGTGGGGAAAGACGGATGACTGCAGTTTTCTCTGTAACAACAAAAAAACATCTCCCGCCCTCTGCCTCCCACTGCTATGTTTGGTTCAGAGCCTCCAAGCAGGGACTTGTTTGGGCTAATGAAGGCCTTTTCCCATCTGGGACATTTGTTTTCATAGCAGAGGAGGCTGTTAATCAGCGTATTCCAAAAGAGCCAACGTGCTCCCCAGTTTGAGCGTGTGTTTCTGTCGCCCTGCTGCTGGGATTGTAATGGGGTTTTCACAGCTGAAGAAGGCAGAGCCCCTCTTCACCAGCCCCTGCTTCCTGCCTTCAGGAAAAGGCATTTGTGAATGATTCCACATGACAGCAACATGTGCATGACTTGAGGTCTGGTAATTGTTTTCACACTAATTTTTACTTGTGAATATCCCCTCTCCCCCAGTCAGGCAAGTTTTTGAAGATAGATGCTAGATAGATAATCGATTGATTGATAAAGAGATCTCCTGTGTTTCTATTTTTCAGGCATAAATAAATTTACTAAGAAGCTTCGAAATCCCTATTCCATCGACAATAATGAGCTACTAGACTTCCTCTCTAGGGTGCCATCTGATGTTCAAAAGGTAGGTAATGAATGGTCACCACCAACAGTGGCCCCGACCTGAAATCTGGCCAGCCCTGGAGCCAGAGGAGCACAAGGCTTCACTTGTGTGAGTAATTGAGATAAGGAACCAGAAAATCCTTAAAGAGGCCTGGCTTGCAGGGAAGTGGCAGAAAAACCGTTGTCCAAAGCATGAGGTGATTGGGGGAAATTGTTTTGAAAAAGAGCTACTTAAGAATGATCTGAAACTCACACTGTGTAGCTACTGTGCACTGACGCTTGTCCCCTTTCGATTGCTTGCCTCCCTAAAGAGGATAAAATGGGCTCAGTGAGTAGAATTGCATGAGATCCAAAGCCGGGGAGTGTTGCATATTTTCTTCTTCTTCTGGGTGGTAAGCATTTTAGGGGAAGCAGGGGACAAGAGGATTATTCTTTTTATTCTGATTTGCCCTGATATATCTCCTAGGCCTCCCTTCTATCCCCTTCCCTCTGAAGACTTAGGGATGCTGAGGGTGCAGCCCCCATTTACTCTAATACACAAAGAGGCAGAGGCAGTGTGAAATCATGTGAGATCAATCAGAAGTATTATTCACAGATAATGGTCACTTAGTCCAGCAGCGTCCTGTTTCTGTGGATACACAGAGATTAACGAAGGCAACAATACTAGAAAGTCATGTAGAGTAGCTCGATCCTGGCCCCTGTGGATCAGCCTGCTATAAATCCAGAGGAAGGAGGGCAGGCGGCAATTTCTCTAATGGAGAATAGAGATCACTGAATAGGTAGATGGGGAGACCATGGCGTGAAATATCATCAAGATGATCAAAGACACAATCCTTTAATATCTTAGAGAATCCCAAATCAAATATCGATTTTCATATTTGAGTCACTGTAGCATAATTGGTTCCCTGGCAGCTAAGGGGGGATTGCAAAGATCTGGGGCGGATAGGCCTTAGAGTTTCTTCCCCCTTCATTCCCAGTTCTAGAAATTAAAATGGACTCTGTGATGCTATCTTTCTTTAAACTTCATTTTATAATTAGCTGTGAAAACACATTCTATAAAGATGAATTTACTCTTTAACATTTGTATTACTTAATTAAAAAGTAATAACTGGGCCCCTGTTTGTTTTGCATTGAAGATTGACAGGTATGTCATCCTCTGCTCCCTTAGGGCACTTTCGCAAAACGCCATAAGGAATGGGGTGTTTTCTTCATTTATCTGCCTCTGACAAAGTACAGCCTGACTTCTGTGATCAGGCACAATGTCCTTGGGGAATTTGGCACAAATGCTAAAAATAGGGAGCACATGTGGTCTGTAATACAATATTTCAAATAAAGCCATTCCACCAGCAGCCTATCAAAGCCCATACACTAAAGCAATACGTTTGCAGCGTACTATCTCTTGGGTCGCAGTGTGAGTTCATGCTGTATCCTTGAAGAATAGAAATTTCCATCGAGCCCCCAAGGATTCTCTGTGCACAGTCCAGGCACTAGCCCTCAAAGTGGCCATTCCAGTTGCAGTTGGCATGAACACAGAGAGATGCAACAAAAGAGCATTCCAGGAAGATATACAGTATGCGAGTAAGATCCTCCCTGTATCGCCAAGGGCGCTTTCTAATAACACAGTGACAGTTTGCCACTGGGGACTCCTGAGTACTCATATTTATCACAGATGTTTTAGCCATTACATTGCAAATGAAATTAATTTCTAAGAGAAATCTATGTAAAAATCTGGGGTATCAATTTCAGCATTTTTTCCTCTCAGGCAAAGTAAATGTATATAATTTTCTGAGATGTTTTCCCCAAGATTTCAGATATTTTTAAATGAATAATCCTAAGTTGCTGTATCATATACTAAGATAAACATTCCCAAGAGGCAGTTATTAAGCTTACTTAGGGTTGAAAACTGGCACACACAAAACGAACATCATCTTGCAGTGCCCAGAGAAGGTAGAAACCCACGCATCTCATTAGAAAAATCTGCTTTTAATATTTTGGTTTCAAGAAATGATGCATGACTTCTCAAATCCTTCCTGCAATTAATCCCTCCATGTTCCTGTGTTTAGAAAATGATTCATTACCTTTGAACCTTCCTTCCTTTGCCTTAGGTTGTCCTTGGGGAGCCATTAGCACACACTGTGGTGAGCTAGGGTTACCTAACCGCCAGCATCACGGCTGTTTGTTTTCACAGGTGCAGTACGCGGAGTTGAAACTCTGCAGCGGCCACAGCCCCCTGCGGAAGAAGCGCAGCGCTCTCTAGGGCACACACTGACTTTGGACAGCAGCACCCAATATTGTGTTTGGTTGATTAGACCAACGTTATGGCTGTTTCAGTGGTACCCAAGGTGTCCTTCTGAAATGCATGCTCTGTGGCACCCTCTGTATTCTTCCTCCTCCTTCATGTGCACAGACATACATGCATGTGCACACACCCCCATGCATGGGTGTCCTAGTTGCATAGAGGGTCAGCCCAGCAAAAAGCAACAATCCTGAGACTGGGAAAGACTAACATCCATCCTGAAATAGGAGACAAAAAGGCTGCAGCCATGGGTCTGAACACCACCTTCCTTGAGAACAGCCAGGAGCCTGCTTGGATTCAAGAGTGACTTTGAACTTGTTTTCACACCTCCAACAGACTCTCATTAAGATTCAGTTATTTCCACTCCCCATTCCCACACTCCTTTCAGATTATTGTTCATGTGCGTAAGTCTCTTCTCCGAGTTAACAAGTCTTCGGTAGCCATCATCTGTCCAAATACGGTATATTATTGAAAGACATTTTTAATAATTACCAGAATTAGTTCGAACCTTTAGGGATCTTTCAGCCATGATTATTAAGGATATGTATGTGAATTTTTGGGAAACCTCTGAGTGCTGGATGGTCAACCTGCAGCGTGGTCCATTGCTGGCCATGGATGCCCCAGGAAGGTCCCTAGAGATCACTCACTTGAAAAATGAGGCTTCCATGAAAGTATTTGGTTCCTTTCTGCTGCCACTTCTTCTGACTTTACTTTTTGCATATTTTCAAAATATCATAAAATGTCAACATACAATTTCAGAAAGGCAGGTGGGGGTAGGGGAGAAATGAATGAATGAATTCTCTAGGTATTTAGAAAGATAAGGAACTGAAGACCAAGAGACTAATAAGGCTGCTTACCTAATTATTATAATCATTTCATTTGCCTGAATGTTTTAAGCAGAAAGTAGAAATACTTCAGCTGCCCAAATGTATCTTTTGTTCCTCTTAGAAGTAAAATAAGCTACAAACAATAAAAATTTATTTCAGAACCCCATTTCTAGAAAATACCACCCCAGAGTCCTCCTTTGACAGCATCTGTTTCTGCAGACCTCATCATTCCACAGTATTTCCCTGCCATGTAAAAATCCTGACTTTGTGCATATATAAAATGTATGCAATTAACTCTGTTTAAATGATATTTAAGTTTTAAAGACTGTATTTTGTTGACACATACTTTGTGCAGTTTTTATATATGTATGTATTATAAAGAAAAGTTAAGGTAAAAAGATCTCATTTCATAGTGAGTTCCCTATTTTATTTTTTTTTTGTCTCTGGGTTGTAATTTAATCATCTTCAAACAAAATGTTTACGAAAAATGCCAAAGATTCTAAATCTTATCATCCAGTGTCTGTTTTTCTTCATGTTGTATCTCACTGGGTTGCTTTCTGGCTGAGCCAGATTTCTGCATGATTTGATTTACTTCAAGTTAATGAAGCTGGCTGGAAAAGAGCCTTGCAGAAATTATAAAAGCTCCAGTAAATCTCGTAGTTGTACATACAATAGATACCCAAGAACCTCTTGTCAAACCAGTTACTCAATCTTCTGTGTCAACAATGCCTCATTGTCTTGCTTCTAACTATCATCTAGTTTATCACTGTCTGTCATTTTGTAACGACCTAAGTCAGACATTTTTAAACAGACATGTGAGATCTGATCAGTCATTTGAATGAAAACTTTCAGCAGCAAAATAACAACCCCTTATTTATTTAAAAGTGGAACCAATACTTTATTGTTGTTCTTTTGCTATAGAATTTCAAAATGAAATTATTTGCCCGACAAGAAGGCATCATTAGTTAGACTTCTTTCCTCTATAGCCCGACTGAAATTCTCAGTGTTAAGTTTAGGACCCAAACACCAGCTGGGATGTAAGAGCAGGACCGAATCAACCTTGAATAAACTGTATATAGAAAACAATTGTTAGTTAATTAAGTAGACATTGGATGTTAAAAAGGAATGTTAGTTGTAAGTGACATGTTAAGATTTATACAAATTGTCAAAAACTTTTAGGAAAGATTCCAGAATGCTTTCAATAAAATTTATGGATTATAGATTCACAGTATGATAATTAAGTAGGGATGCTGAAGTCTTGCCAAGTTTTCCTGGTTCTTTTCTCAAACTTTATCCTCCCATTTCTAGTCCTGTCTCTCAATCTAATAGGCATCTACACCTCAGCAGGTCAGAAACTAAACATCATCTGTCTCTCCCTGTCTTCAGAACCCCGACCCTCATAATCTCCTTCCAGCTTCTTTGTTTCCCTTACTGGCACTGGCATTTTCTGGGCTCAGAATTTCTCGGTCATCCTCTTTTTCGTTCCTCGTGCTGTTGTCCTCGTCTCCCAACCCAGAAAGCCTAGTAAGTCCAGTGTCAATGCGTTAACCACTTCTGTTCTGATTGCCACTACCCAAGTGGAGGCCTTCATAACCTCTCAGATGTCACGGCCATGATGCCAGTTACATTATGCCTAGTTAATCATTCAGACTGGAAGGACCTCCCCTCAATTTCTTTCTGAATAGATTCTACTCTCCTTCAACACTTCCAAGTCTCCTGCCCCAAAGAGCCTTGGTCCTGTGGCTGGATGTGACTCCAACTTCCTTTTTTGTACCTTCACATCTTTCATATCTTTCTGGCATCTGCCGTAAATCATAAGAGGCTTTGACCACTGTCCTCCACTGAATAGCCCATTATAGCTAGCACCTAATAGTTACTCAGAAAATAAATACTTGTTTAACAGGCCAGATCATAGGGATTATTTTTCTTTCTCTGCCTTTTCATGTGCTGCTTTCAGAACAGAGGACTGGGTTGGACAGATTAGTATGATCTATCCTGGAGATTAATTTCTTGCATTAAGAGCTTATTTTGTGTGATATTATTTATAATCCCTGGCTATGTCAATTATAACCTTTTAAATTATGTCTTATATTTGAAGTTCTTACCTACATATCAGAGGAAAATATAATGTTTATTTCCAGGTGGTAAAACAGTCTTTTGATTCTTTTTTCTTGTAAATTATCATTTAACAAGTCTATATTGAATGCTGATAATTTTCTGGAACAAAACAGACCGCATCCCCTTGGTAGAGCCAGACATTAAACAGATACTTTCAAGAAACAGCATGCCATGCTCAGATTTAAGTTTGAAAAATATTCTGGCTGCAATGCATAGCCTAGCAATTTTCAAAGTTTAGAGAAGAGTTATTAATATTAGTCTTTTGTAGTACTCTTGATAAATGGATAACACCCCAGACTTCCAAATAGTGGCACTGGAAAAAAAAATAAGTAGAATTGAGAGACGGTGAAGAGATAAAGTGAGCAGGACTTAACAATTGCTGGACTATGGGATGAGGGAGAGTAGAGTCAAGGATGGCTCTCAGTCACCCTGTCTCCAGGTCTAGGAAGATGGTGTTACCTTTCACTAAGGGAGAGAACTGTAAGAACTGCTGTGAGAGGACCACAGGAGTCCAGTTTTAGCGCTGAATCTCAGGTGCCTGAAAAGCATCCAAATGGGAATGTCAGCAAGATAATGGAATATACGGATTTAGTTCTCAGAGAAGTAACACACTGTACTTGATATGTACACAAGTTAAGGGCAAACACTGCATATCAAAGTGATTGAAACTAAATGCTTCAAGAAATTAAACCTTGAAGAACTCAACAGTCGATGTCATATATATAAAGGCAAGTCAGTTAAGAATGTAAATAGAAACAGGGGTAAATACAGAGGAGAAAAACAGTAAGCATGGACCACCCTAGAATTCAATGGCAGAGCATACTTCAAGAAAGCTGATGTGGTCAATAACATCAAATGCTGCAGAGATCACGTAAGTACAGAATCATGACCTTAATGATGTGACAGTTTGGAAGCACCCTGGCAACAAGTTATTTCAGTGGAATGGTAGAAATGGAAACCACGTTTGGGTTGAGAAGTGAGTAGATGTGAAAATATGGGGTCTCTGAATGGAGGTAACCTTTGAAAAATTCCACTGTGGAGGAGAAAGGAGAGAGAGGGCTGGAATTTGGAATGAAAGGAGATATTTGGGATTATTTTAGTAAGAAAACAGATGTGTCATGACCTCAGTCTAAATCTAATGCAAAAAAATTCTTCATGGACATGAGATGGAGTTAGCCATATTCATTATTTAAAACTATGTTCTGCACTTACACATTGTTGGTTGGAGTGTAAATTAGCTCAACCGCTGTGGAAGACAGGGTGGGTGTTTCCTCAGAAACCTAAAGAGAGAAATACTGTTTGACCCAGCAATCCCATAACTGGGTATGTATACAAAGGAATATAAATTGTTTCTACTATAAAAACACATGCACACACATGTTCACTGCAACACTATTTACAATAGCAAAGATACTGGATCAATCCAAATGCCCATCATTGATAGAATGGATAAAGAAAATGTGGTAGATGTATACCATGGAATACTATGCAGCCATAAAAAAGAATGAGATCATGTCATTTGCAGGAACATGGATAGAGCTGGAGGCCATTACTCTTAGCAAACTAATGCAGCAACAGAAAACCAAATACCACATGTTCTCATAGTAGGAGCTAAATGATGAGGACACATGGGTACATAGAAGGGAACAAAATACACTTGGGGCTATTGGAGGGTGGAGGGTGAAAGGAGGAAGAGGATCAGGAAAAATAACAAGTACGAGGTTTAATACATGGGTGATGAAATAATCTGTACAACAAACCCCTCTGACACAATTTACCTGTGTAACAAACCTGCACAGGTATCCCTGAACTGTAAAAAAACCTATGTTCTATCAAAACCTGCCTCTCATTTATGTATTAGGAATCTTATGGCAACAGAACAGTTGAAAAACTAAAATAAAAATCTTCTGAAAATGCACTGAGTGGTAATTGATAATTGAATAAATGCTGAAATCCCGAAGGATAACTTCTAAAGGAATGGCTTCAAGTATGTTACCCTTGTGTAAAGCCCACAGCTGTTCTGTCCTAGCATTTTAATGTAATGATTTACACAGGAAAATGGATATTCAAGCACACAAGAATACTAATATTTTATAGCATTTATCAAATGCCAGTTACTTTCTAAGTGTTTTAGATATAATTGCTCATTCAAAATAATTCTAAAAATTGAAATTTCTCCAAATACTTAGAGGAAAAAAAACCAAAAACCTGTCACTCCTATACAAGCTCTTCTAGACAATAACAAAAGAAAAAAGAAAACACTTTCTTAAGCATTTTATGAGGCCAACATAACTCTCCTTCAAAACCAAGTCCTACAAAGAGTGGAAAACTACTTAACAAAATCTCTTATGAAGACAGATAGAAAATTGTGAAAGATATATGAAAGTCTTTACACTGAAAACATCAGTGAGGCTTCCAGATGCCTGACCAGACATCTTGTATTCTCTTCCATGAAGAAGAACCAAAAAAAATGAGTGGATAATCACAGTTCACATATATCATATAAGAAAGAACACTGGAATTCTACAGAGAGTGACAGGAAACACCTGAAGCAAGGAAGGGGAAGAGAGCAATACAGTCTGTTCAGGTAGGATAGGTTAGGAGCCAGGAAAGGCTCTCCAGTGGGTGACTCCTAGTGATCAACGTTTCCACTACAAACTCCCACATTCCAGCCATAAGAATTCCCCTTGACTATTGTGAGCCCCAAGACCGACATATGGAGCTACCTGAAGACCGTGTGATGACATTGCCCCAGAGAGGGAGCACACATGTTCCCACACACCCACAAGTCCTAAGCAGCTACAGCAAGTTGTCGCTTTGATATCTCAGCCCTCACCAGACTGCATTCTGCCCTGGGCCCAACGGCCCCTGCATCTTCATATCCCTGGAACCTTAATGACATGCTCCACCTGCAGCCACAACTCCAGCTGCCCACTACCTTTAGGGCTGAAGTGTGAGCCGTTGGCAGCTACCACACTGCTCCCAACTGTGAAGCTGCTATGCATTTTTAATCACCCTAAGGACAACAAATGTCCACCAGGTAACAGCCATAGCAGTAGGCTGCCTCAACTGGGTCCAAAGGGCAAGTGAAATGTACACCTCCCATTGACTTGCGTACCACTGCTGCCATTGAAACTGACTCTATTCTCCCCCATACCAGGAGTGCAGTATGGCTGCTGCCTCCCCAACATGAACATTCTGGGGCCTGGGGTCACACTACCCCTGCCTTTCATAGTCAGTATCTGCAAGCACTACTGAAGGATGTGAGGATGAGTCCACTGGGCCTGGCTCTGACCCCCACCCCTTAGTACCCAATCATGGCATCCGGAGGCCTGGGGAGTACCCAGACCAGTCCACAAATATTGGCACCTGAGCACTCCAACAAGGGCACTGAAGTTGGGGCCACCCAACCTGCCACTACCATCACAATGGGCACCCCCTAACACACACACACACACGTCACCTGTGAGTCTGGGGACTGGCCTGCCCAGCCTGTCACAACCACTGCCACCACCACTGTGGAGCTCTTGGGACTCAGAGATTAGTCCCATCACTACTACTGCTATCACCTACACCATGCAAACTGCCCAAGTGCCCGACGACACACTCACCACCAGTCCATGACTGCCACTACCATCACCCAAACAAGCTGCCTGGAGGCCCAAGAATTGGCTTGCTTGGGTCTGCTAATACAGTGCCAGCATACACTGTCCTAGGGCCCAAGGACAGGTATGCTTAGCGTGCTGCTGCTACCACTGGGGCCCAAGGACAGGCCCATCTGGTGTCCCTGTCACAAGCAAAAGTTCACCACAGCCTTCCCTAATAACCACAACCTAGGCCACTGAGGAAAATCACAGACTTCAATGAAGCTATTTAGAGCCAAATAAATCATGAGAGCTACACTACGGCATGCACCCAGAATCAAAGCCAAAGTACCATACCCAACAAACACCACAGACACATCTTCAGGAAAAAGTCCTCCCCTAGGAAAGCAAGTTAAAAAGTGGAAAGAAGTGATTGTCATGACAGATGTTCAGATATCAATGTAAGGACATAAGAAACATGGAAAAACAAAAAAACAAAAAAAACACTACAAAGATAGTACTTCCAAAGGGACATAATTCTCTAGCAACAGATTAACTAAAAAAAGAAATCTATGAAATCCTGGATAAAGAATTCAAACTACGAATATTAAAGAAGCTCAGTAAGATAAAAGAGAATACAGAAAAACAATACAAATAAATCAGAAAAATAAGTTAGTATATGAATGAGAAATTTTCTAGAGATTTCAAAAAGCACAAAACAAATTGAACTGAATGATTTATTAAGTAAAATACAAAATACTTTCAATAGCTCAACAATAGACTAGCTCAAGAAGAAAGAATTTCAAAACTTGAAGACACATCTTTTAAAATAATACAGGCAGACAAAAAAAAAATTGAGCAAAGCCTACATGACATATGAGATACCTTATAGGGACCAAATTTTTTGGTGTTCCACAAGACAAAGGGAAAATTAAAAAGTTAGAAAACCTATTTAATGAAATAATAGCTGAAAATATCCTAAGTCTAGGAAGAGATTTAGACATCCAGACACAGAATGCTTAGAGATTCCCAAACACAATGCAAAAAAGTCTTCTTCTCAGCACATTATAATCAAATTGTAGTAAGTCAAAGATCAAGAGAGTACTCTTAAAAACAGCAAGAGTCCCAGCTACTCGGGAGGCTGAGGCAGGAGAATTGCTTGAACCTGGGAGGTGGAGGTTGCAGTGAGCTGAGATCGCGCCATTGCACTCCAGCCTGGGCAACAAGAGCGAAACTCCATCTCAAAAAAAAAAAAAAAAAAAACAGCAAGAGAAAAGCATCAAGTCACTCATAAAGGAAACCTCATCAAACTAACATTGAGTTTTTCCTCAGAAATTTAACAGTCCAGGAGAGAATGAGATGATCTATTCAAAGTGCTGGGGGAAAAAAAAAAAACCCTGCAAGCCAATGATACTATACCCAGTAAAGCTACCCTTCATAAATAAAGTGGTAATAATCTTTCCAAACTAAGCAAAAGGTGAGAGAAATCATCACCCTAGAATGGCCTGGCAAGAAATGCTGAAGGGAGTCCTCCCTGGGAAGAAAGAGATGCCACCTACAATCATGAAAACATATGAAAGTACAGAACAAAATGGTAGCAGAAACACAAAAAGAAGAGAAAGGACACAAATATTACCACTACAGACAACTATCAACCCACAATAATAAACATTAAGGGAGGAAAAAAAGGAACAAATGATATACCAAACAATCAGTAATCAATTAATAAATAACAGGAATAAGCCCTCACATATCAGTAATATATTTGAATGTAAATAGATTAAACTTTACACTTAAAGGATATAAACTGGCAGAATGTATTTTTTAAAAGATGCTGCTATAAGAAATCTATCTCAACTGTTAAGACACATACAGACTGAAAGTAAAGGGATAGAAAAAGACATGCCATGCAAAGAGAAACCAGAACCAAAAGGATTGCCTATACTTACATTAGATAAAACAGACTTTAATACAAATGTATTAAATGAGACAATGGTGATTATATAATGATCAAAGAATCAATTCAGCAAAAGAAAGTAACAATTCTAAATAATTATATGTACACAACACCAGAGCACAAAGATACATAAAGTAAATATTATTAGATCTAAAGGAAGAGATACACTTCAATAGAAAAGTTCAGGATTTTAATACCCTACTTACAGCACTAGACAGGAAACTAACAAAGAAACAGTGAATTTAAAATGCACATTTGAACAAATACACCTAACAGACATTTACAGGACATTTTACACAACAGCCACAGAATACACATTCTTCTCATCAGCACCTGGAACATTCTTTCAGAATAGATCATAGATTGGGACACAAAAAAACGAAATCTGACACATTTTAAAAACTCATAAGTATATCAAGTATCTTTTCAGACCACAACAAAATAAAACTAGAAATCAGTAACAGGAAAAACTTAGGTAACTACAAATACATAATACTTTAAAAACATGCTCTTGAATGACCACTTGGTTAAGGAAGAAATTAAGGAAAAAAATAGAAATAAAGGAAAATTGAAACACAACATACCAAAATCTATGGGATACAGCAAAAGCAGTGCTAAGAAGAACGCTTATAGCAATAATCACCTACATAAAAACAAGAAGAAAGATTCCAAATAAATGGTCTAATAATACCCATCAAAGAACTAGAAAAGTAATAACAAACTAAACCCAAAATTAGTAGAAGGGAAAAAAAATTGTAAAGATTAGAGCAGAAATAAATGAAATTGAGACCAAAAAATACAAAGGACTAGAAAACCATAAGTTCGTTTTTTGAAAAGATAAACAAAATTAACCACTAGCTAGACCGACCAAGAAAAAAGACCCAAATAAATCAAATCAGAAATGAAAATGGAGACATTATAACTGATACCACAGAAATAAAAATCATCAGAGACTATTATGAACTATACATTAACAATCTAAAAAGCCTAGAGAACGTTTAAAAATTCTGGGACACATGACCTTCCAAGATTCAATCCAGAAGAAATAGACAACCCAAATAAACCAAAAGGATTAACGAGATTGACTCAGTAATACAAAATTTTCCAACAAATTCCAGGTCTGCCTTACCTCACTGCCAAATTCTACCAAATTTTCAAAGAAGAGCTAATACTAATTCTCCTGAAGCTATTCCCCAAAAAATTGAAGAGGAGCAAATTCTCCCCAACTCATTCTGTGAGGCCAGTATTAACCTGGTACAAAACTACAGACCAATATCTATGAAGAACATAGATGCAAAAATCCTCAACAAAATACTAACAAACCAAACCCAACAGCACAGCAGAAAGATAATACACCATGATCAAGCAGAATTTATC